ACGCGGCACGCACGCAAGCGCAGCTTTCCCTCGCAAGTGCCACAGCGTCCCTGCGAGCGCAACAACATGCCTCTGCTTGCGAGCGCCACAGGACGTCCGCGGTCGCCAGCGGACGACCGCCGCGACGTGACTACAGGGGGGGGGGGGCGGGGCCAGTCACGCGCGCGACCGCCGGGGGCTTGTCCGAACGGGCTCATGGCTGCAAGATGGCCCCATCCAGCGTGTCCCCAAGGTGGCCCAAGATGGTTGCAAGACGGCCCAAGATGGCCTCAAGAAGCACCCAAGAGGCCCCAGTGAAGCCCCATAAGAGGACCCATAAGGGGCGTTCGTCCGCCTCCTCCTCATCCGACTTCTCCTCTCCCAGTCCTGCTCCGTCACCTTTCCCCCCAATGTTCCCCCAAGAGTTTCTGCCACTGCGGGGGGGGGGCACATAGCCCAACAGCTTGGCAACACTTTGGCCCAACGTTTGGCCACACCGGCGATTGCAGAACGGCAGGGGGCGGCAGTGACTCACCGTAGCCGTTTCCGATCCGCCACCCTCTTTGAAAACAACGGTGCGCTTGGCATGCAGAGGCTTCTGCATCTGTTTGGCCCGAAGTCCGCAAAAGCCCAGATCATTCGCATCCAAGATGGCCACGATGGCCTAGATAGCCCAACATTGCTTCCAATACGGCCCGATATGGTCGTGATTGCCTCCAGGATTTCCCAAGAGGACCCCAAGATAGCTCCAAATTCGCCGTAAGGATCCTCCAAGACGGTCCCAATACGGCTCAACATAGCTGCAAGATGACCCAACAGACCCCCCACGACGCCTCAAGAGGGATCCCAGAGGACATCCAGCAAGGAAGCCAGCACCACTGGTTACCGGAAAGGTGTGCGCGTTCTCTTCGTTCCAGACTTCCGAAAACCAGAGACAGCCCAAGTGGCCACAAGATTGCCCCAAGTCAGCCCAAGAGGTTCTCAACAAGGTCTTAACACGACCCCAGATGCCCCAATACGGCCACATGACAACTTCAAAACTGCCCAAGAGTCAGAAAAAAACCGTGATGAGCCCCAATAAGGCCTCAAGAGGTCCCCTAAAACGGCCTAGACAAGTCCTCAAGACAGTCTCCGAACGCGTCATACGGCCCGAGAGCGCCCAAAGACAGCCTCAAACAAGACCCACGTGGCCAGAAGAACCTTCCCAATGTTCCCCCAATGACTTCCCCAAGCGCTGGGGGAACACGCAGTCCACTCGCATGGATGGCCGCACTGTTGCTCGACGTTACACCACGAGGCGCTTCCAGAAGACACGGGAATAAGGTCGTGATTGGGCCGCAGCCGTCTTCGCTAGTGTCCTCAGTGCCCCTCGACCAGCACAGACATCATCACAACGGTGCGTCAACGGTTCGGTTTACCTGACCTTGTCGAACATTGTATGGATCGCTCGGGTCATGCAGCAAAATCTGGAGGGCAGCCGATGTAGGAAGGCCGTCAGAATTTGACGCTTGATCATGACTACGACTGCGCTGATGACAGGACTCGGTTCTAGGATGCGCGCGATGCCGAGCGAAGCGGTTCAACTAATGACGCAAGCTTCAGGGTCCAAACACTCGACGTCACTGCCCAGCGGCGCTGGCTCTCCTGACGACGAAGAAGCCAGGACCTCTGCATCCACACTTGCATCATCTGCCGTGGCATCAGCTGGAATCGAGGAAACACAAACAACACTCTGCCCACCCTCAGATGGAGCCCCACACGCGGCGGAGGGCTGTGGCAATGACTCCGAGGTATCCAGATCGATGTACAAGTGGCGTTGCCGTTTGCGTGCTGGTGCCGCGATGTCTCTGGCAAGATCATCGGTGAGTAGAGCGGGTCTGCAATGCTGGTTAATCGCGGGCCCAGTGATCGTACGCCCCTGCCACCGAGGCTGCACATTCGAAGTATAGCTGCGCACAATCCGCCTGGCAACGTCTACGTCCAATCGCAAGCGACCCGTGGAAGTCTCGTTGCGGTGCAACTCCTCGGTGCCAGCCCGATGCTCCGCGGGCGCAGTGCCTCGACGCCCCTGCCGCCGAGGCTGCACGTTCGATGTATAACTGCGCACGATTCGCCTGGCGGCGTCTGTGTCCAATCGGAGGCGATCTGTGACAGCCGTGCGTTCGTACAACTGCTCGGTGCCAGCCTGGACCTTCTTGAAATAAAGCTGAATGCGGTCGATCTCTTGCCGGATGGGATGCTCCCGAAGATCAACGCCCTGGGCTAGCAGATTACAGAAATAGAGCGAGGCAATTGCATACGTCAGCCCGATCTGCAGCTCAGCGTTTTCCAGCGGGGACAATTTTCTGGCCACTTCTGCGTGGGCTTGCCGCCGCAAAAAGGTCCTGAGATGCTGCTCTACGACAACGAGCGCCGCACTACAAGCCGCGACCGTGCGCTGTGTCTCCGTAGCGAACGACGCCATGCCAGAAGAAATGCTGGGCCGCGCATGCATTGCAAGGACATTTGGGCCGACATCGCTGCGGGTAACATGTATGTTGCGAGTCGTGTCCTCCTCGTCATGGCCAGTCCCCCACCCGCTGCCCAATGTTTAACTGGCACTGAGCAAACAATGCGATGCATGGTCCTGACTTACCCCGGAAGGGGGGGGAGGGGCACGCCGCCCGCGTTGCGGGCTCAATGCGACGGGCCCCCTGCAGGCAACTGGCTGCGTCGGTATCCCAAGAATTTGGCGGCAAACAAGAATCGTTAGCCAGCGTGGACCCGAAGCAGTGATTTCTTGCATACGGGGTGATGCAATGTACGTGGTGCAAACTAGGTGGCACAAACTATGTGGTGCGAGCTACGTGGTGTAAGCTATGTGGCGCGAACTACACGGCGCAATCAATGTGGTGCGATCTATGGAGCGGGAACGACGTGGTGCAACGCAGGTGGTGCAACGGAAACGGTGCGATCGATGTGGTGGAATCTATGTCGCGTAATCGTAGTGGTGCACTCTGCGTAGTGCAATCCATGTGATTATACATATATATATATATATATATATAAATATAGGTGGTCCGATATATGGGGTGTGGGAGGTGCGGCGCAAGCTATGTGGTGCAATCCATATGGTGCGATCTACGCCGTGCGATTGCAATACATTGCTATGAGGGCGCAGCGCAATGCGGTGCAATGCGGCGCGATGCAACGCAATGCGGCAACGAGGCGGCGGCGACTGGCGGCGACGAGGCGGCAACGAAATGGCGACGGGCGACGATGGGGCGGCGACGGGGTGACCACAAGTCGGCCGTGGCGGCACACAAGCCAACTTCATTGGAAAATACATAGGACCCCCTAGCTGTAAACACTGTTTGGGGAAACAGGGGGGGGCTGGAACAGAAAAGGAAGATTGGACAGCCCCCAACACCGACGCAAGCGAATTAGGACATGATATGTATGGGGGACGCGGAACGCGAGTCAGTGACAAGTAAGGGTCGAGGGACTGACCATGAGGTGGTAAGCTGGGAACCCTACTCTTAGGAAAAGCTCGGTGGCGTATCGACGCACCCCACAAATCATCATTTGATGGCATGCTAGGCACAACGACGTGGATGCAACTAGCAAGCAGGACTGCGCAACCTTGAGCAAACATCGCGGCGAATAGAACGTTCGCTTTTCAAACCCACCTTAAACCTCGTTTAAAAGCCGGGAAGGGAGGGGCCGAACGCTAACCTCAAGCCTTAAGTCAATTCAGTTAAAAAGAAAACAGTGAGGATGTTTTTTTCGACATCCCAGCAGTGCATAGGGAAGCGAAAAGCAGCACAAGGCACCAGGGCCGAGCAACGGCAAACCTCCTTGCACGATCGTTATGGATGGTCACGGCCAAGACCACATGACCATCCGCAGAAAATTACGAGGGCGGCTGGCCAAATGCCAACCGTCAAAGCGTGCGACGCGTGAAGGCACCTGGTCAATAGCCAGGTCAACTCACAAGAAGGCAAGTGCCCGTGGCCAGGCAACCGCGACTACATGTCTGCATCTATATATATGTATATATATAAACATCCGCACACCTATCCGCGCACCTTGAGTAGGGCACCCTCACGTTGGCGCTGTCTCTTTGTTGCCTCGATAAGGCATTGCCTTCTTTACCTCATATTTGAAGGGCTGATTGCCTTCCATAACTTGCAGCGGCAACGCCCAGTCGAAACATCCTTTGGTATGACCATATGCGGTCACGCCCCGTGTATCACACCACTGTAAGCTATGGGGGACGCCTCGGTCCTTACTTCGTCATCCAGCTGATGTGTTCCAGCAGGGCACATTCAGCTGGCTTCTGCAAGTCTTTACTTGACAAGGACTTGAAGACTAACTTAGCGCCCGTGGTAAGGATGGCCGTAATGCTGAGACCATCTAACTCTAAAATGTTATTAAGGTGCGCGGGCGTCAGGGGTCCATCCTGAAGCTCGCGCAGCGTAGCTACGGTAGGGTAGCAGCCTTCAGGGCCATGAGCTGCTGCCAGTGTTTCAGCTGAGTAGCTGGAACGCACCTGCCAACGATGCGATTCATTGCATGCATCGACCAGCAAAACTAAAGCGTTGTCGTTAGGCACGTGTCCACGCAGTTGAAGACTGGCCCCTCGGATGCCACATCCCTTTACTTCGCCATCTTCGCCCCCGTTAAAGCCACGATACCCGATCTGACTGTGAAGGTCCACTTCTCTTGTCGGAGTCATGCGCTGCTATGCTATCTCTTTGGGCCTGGCTGAGGTTCGCGCGTGGCAGCGTTGAGTCCGCGCACTCGGGGGCCCTGGGGCCCCTCGCTCGCCGCCAGGGCACCGCGCGTATCATTGGCCGCGCGTGAGTGGTTAACGCACGCGCCAAGGCGCCACGTGAACTGATGAGCATGTCGGACGCTGTCTTCGCTGCCTTTTCTCCGGCCACAGCGCCCGTCAGTCTTGCGCGCTGTATAGGGCGAAGCTGTTTGATGTATTCATCCTGGTCCAGCCGGGCGCGGCCGTCCTCGGTCCCAATGTAGCGCGCGGCGCCGTTGGTAAATCAGTGGTTGTTCCATTTGCATGCGATGAACGCATTTTCCATACTTTTGACATGTTGGTCTCTAGTGTCACCCACTTCTGCCATAGTTATGTCAACGACGTGCTTGGCTGTTAGGAGGTAGGGCTCGTCTCGCATTGTTCATCGCATGACGTGGGTTTTAGCCCAGAGCCTCGTGTAGCAGTCCTGAATCTCAATGAGGGTGCCCCAGGGGCATCTTTGGTGCCTGCGCCTGGCTTCAAGCACTGCAGGCAGTGCTCTAATTCGCCGCAAGACGAGAAGCCAGGCAATTTTCGCTACGCCGACCGCAGACCATGCGCTATTTCTCGCCAGCGGCCTTTGCCAGCTCACGATAGGTCAGGCCTTTACAGGAAAACCCTGTCAATACCCATGGATACTATGACCCATCGTTTCTAGCGCGCGGCAGTGCTAGCGAGCGGTCTCTGACTTGCTCGACGAGCTGCGCTTTTTTTTCTGTGTTTTGTTACGTCGAGTTTCTCGACGCCCATGAAGCCACGAAGGAGAGGACATAATCGCATGATTTGTTTCATCTCGCCTTTGTCGTGCGTGACCAACTTCAAATTGCACACATACCTAGGTGTCACGATGTTGGTAGCATGTTTGGTTTCCAGCGAATTCAAACATGCGTTGCGATACCGTAGCACAGGTTGCGCGCGCAAGGCTGAGCTCGACATGCTGGCCGTCTTCGTCCGAATCGAGATCATACATCTCGTCGTAATATGGGGCCCAAGGTGCCAAAAAGGTTTCGTCGGCGTCATGGTTCCGGGCATGACCGATCTGTCGCAAGTGTCCTTGCTCCGTGCTGGCCACAGCCACGAGTGCGCGGTTGTCTGTAACTATCTCAGTGGGCACCGAACACAAGGACTCCCATGAGGGTGTCTCGAACAATTGTTGTTCCTTGGAGCTCGCCGTGCCACGTTTCCATGGTGCGCGCTGATAGGTCCTGGGTGCATTTCTTACCCCTCAGCAGTGGTAGGTAGCCTGCCGCCAAGCGCAGCCGGCGCTGGAGGTCGCTCCAATCCGCGGGCGTGGCCGCCCGATGCTGTGCTGGCTCGTCCGCCAGACCCTCAAATTATGAGTGGTCTTCGTCAAAGCCTGCCAGAGGTGTGGAGGACCTCAAGCGCTGGATTCTCCGCGCGTGTGCGGTTCCAGTGGCATCGTGGACATGATGGAGAGCGGTACCTTCGGATTCGTAGTAATGCAATCCTGGCGTGATGTCGTCGTCATAGCATGCCAAGGCATACCTGTCAGAGCACGGTGCTGCTGGCAACCCGTGGATGATTTTAGCCGGACTTACTGCTACTACGTTTGCTATCCTAAGATATTTCCAGATGGGGAACTGCAAGGGTGCGTGTACTTTAGGCGAGAGACGGCTCGCCGCAGTCATCCGCGAGTTCCCTTGCTTTCGTCGGCAGGCAGCCGAATATCATAGACCAGAGCAGGGTTCCCAGCGAGCAGGCTAGCGATAAAAGGCTAACGCTTTTCGCGTAGCCGCAGTATCAGAGCCGATCTCGCGGACAATTATCACCTCAATATATGACGTGCGTCGAAAGTCTGGGCGCTGCACTCGGACTTCCCGGCCGCCTACTTGCGCTGCGGCCTGATCGCGGTCGGGGCAGTTGCGGGCAACGGGGCATGGGCCTTCCCATCCACCCGGGTCGTCCTTAGCAGTGGTCGGACGGAGGTAGTTCACGAGATCACCTGGCTGATAGATGCGGCGTCCTGCTGCTTTCGTTTTCGTGCGTGGGGCGATGTTGGTTTTGGCTACTGCTGTGGCCTGTGTAACGGCTTCACTGATTTCTCGCATCCTCTGGCCTCGACTGTGATAGGACGTTTCCGCCCCCTGCTGGTAGTCCGGCACCAGACGGTCTGGTAAACCGGCCTGTTGTCGACCTTGCAGTGCTTGGAAGAGCGACGCCCAACTGTAGATTCTGAATGCATTGCAGACGGATGGGCCTTCGTACAGCAGACGTGTAACAACCCGTGGAATGGTGCGTCGCTGTAAATCTTCTTCCAAAACATGCAGGGCGCGTCTCAAGATGCCGTTGCGTGCTTCGATAGCAACGGCGCGCTGGCCTCGGGCGCGGAGGCGCGGGGCTGCATGCAGCAGTTGCGATAAACGCCCCATGCCGCATGCATCGTCCTGTCTGTAATCTCTTGGCCCGCAGCCCAGCGTACGCGTCGGTCGATGATGTGGAACGTGGCGCGTGGTTTGCCGAGCATCGAATCACACTCGATTTCTTCATTGAATTTGCCGGGGCGACTTATCGAGCGCGCGACAGGTGCCGCCCCGTTTCCCCCAGGCTATGCACTCGGGGAAAGAGCCGCCCATTCCCTTCATCATGTTCAGTCGTGCGACATCTATTCCCACGCGCGACATAATCGCACGCATCTCTGGTTGAGTAGCGCGGTGCCACGTAAGTGGAGTTGTCGTAACTCTTCTAGCGCGGCGGTCGGGTCGTAT